AAAGGGAGTTTTACCACAATCAGCAGTAATGTTGCATTCTGATTGGCTAACTTGCCATCATTGATGAGAGTACAGACTATGCTGCTCACGTCATTGTGGCACGCAACGTGTCATGCACTGAACGAATCGTCTTATTTGACTTTGATATTGTGGTAAACAACAAATCGATCGACAGTGGATATGCGAGGTCTGTACTGTTATCGACAACGATATTCGTCATTGCAGTGGTCAAAATTTGTTGCGGACCCAATCGGCTGCTCCTCGTGAGTCCACAACATTTTTGACCGCTGTGATAAAGAATATCGCTTTCGATAAGAGTACACACCACGCTAAACCACTGTTCATTTCTTAAATAGTCAATGGAATATTATAGTCAATTTGGTAATTGACTACAGTGAATTACCAAATAGAGAGAATGCAGACTGCTATTAAACTTTTCTAGTTCTTTATCGAATTATCTTTTTCCACGGGACTCTTCTTCTACCACAGTAATTATTAACAACTGCGATGCTTAGTTACGTTTTTCCTGTGGCACTGAGCACTTAGATGAGGAATGTTCTCACGAGTAGCAAATCTTGGCAACCCATGCCAGCCATTGCCCTCATTTAGTTAGTAGACAACCTTCATTTGCACTCAGAGAAAATGACTAAAGTAAGGCAAGTGAAGAAAGACCACGGAAAAGTGAATTTCTCCTAGCGCTTCTCAAAAATAACTGGCTTCTTAGGATAAGCTCATCCTGGTCCTAGAAACTTTCAACTTTTCCTACTTATGCAAAATTATAGGTGCTGTTACGCGCAGTTTGCTTACATATCATATTTTTTAAAATAATATGATATGTAAGAAATGATCGACAACATGAAATGGTATTGGTATCTTTCAATGATAAATATAAGTTTAATGTTAATATTCTCCGTGTTCTGTCACAGATGGCTACATTGACGCTTACTTTGTCACAGAGTAGTTCCTTAAATTTTTTGTCAATAATTTCTCAGATCTTAGAATATGACCTAAAGTATTGAATAGTTTGTGCTTTTTTTAATGTCCTCCATAATAGCATTAGAGAACGCCATGTATCCGACCATTAGATCAGGACTGGCGAAGTTTGATGTCAGTTTACCCGAGGAACTACAGAGCTATGTCAGCTACTTATTCAATGAGTCAGCCAAACTTGGCTTTCGCAAGCGAGGTATTTAATATGGCTAAAATAACTGACAGTTTGTATTGGTTTACAACAAGAGCCGTAATTGGTCCCAATTACGGCTCTTGTTTACAAACATATCTCCAGTTATCTATATTCTGTCGTTAGATTGCAGAGTAATGCTGGGTTTTTGTAATGGTTAAGATTTGTGATCTTGTGTTGGGTTTGTTCTTACTCGGTAGACCTGGTATATTTATACAATCATGAAATGACCTACGCGGTCCAATGCCCGTTCTTAAAGAAAAAAAAAAGATTTATAAACAGATCTCTCTGAGGGCCGTGTGCGTTTGTGCGAGCAGGGGCATTAAGAGCCACTGACCGTAAGTATCGAGAATCGGCCGACAGTTGCAAAATTTCGTAATTCACTTTATTTTTTCTAAAGGACCCTTTTAATGAACCTTTTCGAAAATTATATCAAAAAGTTTTATTGCGCTGTTTTTTTCTCCGACAAATCGAAAAGCTATGAAAAATGATGCAACTTTGGCATCTTCGTACGCTACAACGCGATGCAATCCCGCAATAGTTCATGTATTTGGTACATTCCCGGGCAAGCTGAAAGAGGGGGGCATTGCGGCCTCTGGGAAACCGCAAAACCGGAGAACAAAACCTCCAAAACCGAAAAACCGACGAAAAAGGGCAGCATAACCGAAAACCGCATGCAAACCTGACAAAACCGCTACATTTTCACCTTTAAAGGAGTCCAAAAGGAAAAACCGAAAACCGCATCAGAGTTTTCGTGAAAACCGAAAACCCAATGCCAAAACACGTAGAATCCGCAAACCGCTCTGAACATCAAAACCGAAAAACCGAACCTTTTTTGCCCAAAAATCGATCCAAAAAAAAAGTAAANAAAATTTCGTAATTCACTTTATTTTTTCTAAAGGACCCTTTTAATGAACCTTTTCGAAAATTATATCAAAAAGTTTTATTGCGCTGTTTTTTTCTCCGACAAATCGAAAAGTTCAAAATACGCCTAAATGGCCGTTGTCCCCCCGTAAATGCAACTTTGGCAACTTCGTACGCTACAACGCGATGCAATCCCGCAAGAGTTTATGTATTTGGTACATTCCCGGGCAAGCTGAAAGATCGGCCTTGACCTCTTGCGTGACAGCCGTTCAACGGATCGCATTACATCTTTTGTCATTTTTTAGCTCGAACTCTTTAAAAGCTGGACGCGCTGCCTATGGCGAGCTAAGAAAGAAACTTAGAGGAATTAAACTTCAAGGATAAAACTTTAAGATGACATATTTTTTGGTTTCCAAATCTATCATACAAGACCTTTTTTAAGGCCTTTAAATGGGTCGTGACAGCTGTTTGGCGGTTCGTATTTCAATTTTGACAAAATAGCCCAAAGTCTTTTAAACCTGGACGTGCCGCTTATGGCAGGCCAAGATAAAGAATTGGATGAATCAAAATAAAAAAATAATACTTTAAGATAATGTATATTATGATTTTTAAGTATATATGGCAGACCTGTTCAGAGGCCACTGAAGTTGATTTTATTTTACCTCCGCGAAAGAGACGCGAAGTACTTTATTTTAACTGCTTAAACGTAACAACATAGCAAGAAATTAATATTTTCCATGAGATGAAAGGACCATCTGCTAGCACACAAAATTTAAAAGTAGGATTGCATCGCGTTGTAGCGTACGAAGTTGCCGAAGTTGCATAATTTTTCATTGGACTTGTTGACGCAGTTTTCGAAAAAAGTTCATTAAAAGGGTCCTTTAGAAAAATAAAACGAATTACGAAATTTTGCAACTGTCGGCGGATTCTCGATATTTTCGGTCAGTGGTTCTTAAAAGCTGCACGGCCAAGGGTACGGCCTGGAGAGAAAGAAAAAAGAAAGAGAATTGCGGCGGTCACGGAATAAAAATCTGATCAAGATCAACTGATTAAGATCAAGCCGGACGGACATGACCATTCTTCTTAGTCCATAAGCATGTATAATGCTGATGTTAAATCTGGTTCCCTTATGTGGTGCTTTATTCCCAGAAGGTAAACGTTTCTTTTAGTTTATCAAAACTAATATTTCTTTTGTTTGTTTGCCATGTGAAACCACATTTTTTCTCTTTGAATTTGAAAATGTTCTGAAACTTTTTTGGGTTAAAATACTCAGATTCGGAAAAGAACAACAACAACACCATCATTAGCAGGCATTTTTTGACTCTAGATTTCTAAATTTTTGAATGAGGGAAAAGAATATGTAAGAATAAAACTTTATGACAGTGATTTACAACTTCGCGTGTAAAGTTTGTTGAAAATTTTAGATTTTTGCCGTGCCAAAGAAAAGAAAATGGGCTTAATTCACTGTTTTTGGTATCGCACGACATTTATTGTTTATATTGTCTATCTCTGTGTTTTACCCCCTGGTTTCCTTTGACTTTGAATGACTCTGAATGAAATACTGAGACTCGAAATTCTCTTTGTTTCCAATTTGCCAAGATATCTTTGTGTGGTTTGTCTGTTTTGGATAAAAAAATATGTAAAGGCGGATTTTTCACAGTAATGTTTTCAAGTAAAATATTAAGAATTCTTTTCTTTAATCTTTTAGCACTCCATTCCCTTAGTTCCGTGGAGGAATTACGAGAAGCAATGGATAAGTACAAATTGAAAACATTCCTTAGAATTCACATCACAGAAGGTGCATGGCAGGTGGCGCTGCTGTTTATGGATGAACTTCCTTCAGATGAACTGCCACGTGACTGGTTTGTTGACGCGTGGTACCGGTGGGAGGAGGAGGAGGAGATGATTGGTTCATCGTTGTACAGTTCGACGTCAGGCATTTTGAAGGCGTGGCCAACAGAGTACGACCCTGATTTGGTAACATTGTGTAAAGCGATCACCGACAGGTTCTGGAAAGTAACCAGATTAATCCTTTTTGGGAGTTGGATATCTGAAGAAGGTTTGAAGAACTTGGGTACAGCTCTTACTCAGGGTAAACTTTATAGCTTGACACTCTGTCGCAGTGGTTTACAAAGTCAGAGATTAGAACACCTCTGCGAAGCGCTGACCAGTGTCAACTGCAATTTAACCAGTTTGAACTTCTCTGACAATCGGTTAGGAGATGAAGAAATAATGCGCTTGAGTAACGTGCTCACTAGTGTCAACTGCAAGTTAACCAGTTTGAACGTCTCTGACAATGAGTTAGGAGATGAAGGAACAATGCGCTTGTGTAACGTGCTCACCAGTGTCAACTGCAAGTTAACCAGTTTGAACGTCAGTGGGAATTACTGTGGAAGTGAAGGATTAAATCACTTGTGTGACGCACTGGTCAGCACTAACTGCACATTAACCAGCTTAAACGTTAGTAGCAATAGGTTTAGGGATGAAGACATAATGGACTTGTTTACTGTTCTGACCAGCACTAACTGCACCTTAACCAGCTTAGACGTCAGTTGGAGTGAAGCAGGAGACAGAGCAGTAAAGGAATTAGCTAGAGCTTTAACTAGCAAGAACTGTGTATTAACGAGTTTAGACATCAGTCGCAGTGAAATAGGAGATGAAGGAATAAAGTACTTGTGCAAAGCCTTAACTGATCCCAACTGCAAACTGAGGAGCCTGGACCTCAGAGAGAATTGGAAGGTAACAGACGTGGGAAAACAGTGTTTGTCTGAAGCGATAACTGGCACTGACTGGGAAGTTAGAGAAGGCCTGTCACTTTTCCGTTCCATTAAGTCAGAGGCATAGAGCTTGGATAGGCTCCTCTTGCTACTTATCGCCTATCACTTAACAATTTCATTTTTTA